GTGGAGGTCAGTTTGGAGATTCCTCAAAAAGCTGGAATTGGAAGTCCCATTCGAACCAGCTATTCTACTTCTAGGCGTATTCTCAGAACTGAAAACATCATACCACAGTGATATATGTGCACCCATGTTTATAGCAGCACAATTTGTAATAGCCAGATCCTGGAAACAACCTAAGTGTCCATCAACTGAGGAATGGATAAAAACGTTGTATTTTTATACAATAGAGTACTACTCAGCTATAAAGAATGATCACATTGAGGTATTTATAAATAATTGGATGCAGCTTGAGACCATACTCCATAAGTGAAAAAAATCAAACTCGCATGTATAAATACCATATAGTCTTCCTAGTGTAAGAAATGAAAGAGTATGTAAGACTTTTTGGTAATCATGATTCCCCATTACATTGCTTTGAAGCCTTATGTTTCCATTCATTAGTTGAAATGGTTTTATTGTTTTATTATGTGTGATAGTATCAACAGCTATTTTGAAGAAAACGAGACATTATGGCAGCCAATGCTGATTTAATATCATCTTGAAGTCCTACCATACTTTTGTTCTTGTTTCCATTGGTTCTATCATGTTGTATCTTATTGGATTTTAATGTGTGACAGTATAAACAAATTTTCTATGGAAAATGAGATAATATAATAGCCATTGTTCATTTTCTGTTATTTGGTTCTGAATTCCCTATAATACTGTCATTCTTTTGAATGGTTTTATACTATTTTGTTATGTTTGATACTGTTGTATGGGAAGGAATGCGCAACTATTTCAAAGAAAGAGACATTATGGTAGTTACTGTTAACATCCGGTTGTCTTGTTGGAAGTGCTGTGTTGCTTACATTGTTCTGTCCTGTCTTAATCTCTTAAAAAAAAGACTAGTATACCCTGTTTCTGTAAGTTAAATCTCCTGTAGTAAATCTGAGAATTATTTTACCTATTCCTCAGTTGTTTTTGTCTCCACTGTTAGGTCTCAGAAATGCACACCAGTGTATCATCTTTCCTGCTAATGATACTTCTCATGGTATTTATAATTCTGCTAAGTCTTGGTGATCCTTACTTCCCTCCCCTCTCCTCTGGATAAGGAGCATCCATGGAGTTAAAAGATTTGTAAACAGTAACATGCAGAATGTAAATCATCTTGGTATTTCAGTGAAAACAAAACCACACATCTGAGCACACCTGTCACTTGCATGTGCTTGGCTAAACTTACAAGAATGCAAGTGTGGGAAGACTTTTGGGAGAACGTGGCAGATAGGTAACAGCAGCTACAGAGGCTCTCTGAGATAGCCAGCCTAGATTCCAGGAATGGTGTAGAGTGGGGAGTCCTAAACAGGGGGAGATATACCCTGCCGACCCGGAACGAGCTAAGCTGAGAGAAACCAACTGGAAATGCAATCCCGGCACTACGACTAGAACAGCTAAAGTCTCAGTGCTGAAGCTGGAACCTGCACCTCTGGAAACCGCAGCTTGAATTTCCTGCTGCAGCTGCTGCCATCTGAATCGGCACAGCAGGGATAGAGATGCGAAAGCTCTGAGAGTGGGAATCGGGGAACCAAATTGAGAGCAGAGCTGGTGGAGAGCCCTACAACGACCTGCAGTGAGTGAGAGGAATGGGGACCTTTCCATAGACTAGGAGGCTCCAACAGAGGACATTCTGGAACTGGGCAGACTAACCAGAACAGGATGCTGCAGTGACTTCGTCACATATTCCCCTCTCAAGTGGGATTGGTGGGGAGCGCTTGACCTGGGTGACGCTGTGGACTAAGACCCAGTAGGCTAGTCCAAACCAGGTCCCTGTGCCTGGCAATGTACCCTAATGCAGTGAAGCCTTCAGCAGGTTGACTAACCTGGAGGGGCGGGCCCAGCATAGGCTGCCCAGGTGTGTGTCTCCCTAGTACACTGCAATGGGTGGGAACACCTAGCCGGTGTGATTCAAACAAACTGTAACCGACAAAGAAAGAAACTGGGCCTCCTATATATACTTGTATGGAAGGAACAAAAAGCATGGGAAGAGGGAGCAACAAGAAAGGGCCCTCAGTCCCCGATCCTGACAACACTGATCCAGGAAAGGTAAATGCAAAGGAGAATGAGGACAGAAAACATGCAATATCAGGCATGGCATCAATAGACATAAAGCGGTATCTCTGGAACCTCATAGGCGAATTCAAAAGTGAAGTATTTAACCAAGTAAAGCAAGATATAAGTAGAACAGTTAAAGAAATGTTAAGCACCTCCCAAGAAAAAACAGATGATGGAATGGAAGAACAGAAAAAAAAGGGGAGAATTGTTTGATGGAGAAAATAGAGAAAACATAGAATACATGAAGCAGGTTCAAAGAGATTACCAGGAAACTAAATACTCTATTGAAAGCTGGTATAACAGCTTGAAAGAAACTAAGGATAGATTATCTGAACTGGAGGACAGATTTGTAATGTGGGAGCATGCAAGGAAAAACTTCTTAAAAATAACAAGGAAACAAGCAGTAACAATACAAAGGCTAGAAGATGATAAGAGGATCTATAAGAGGATCTATAACTTAAGAATGTAAAGGAAGAAGCAGGGATACAAACAAATGAACTGCAAAGGCTATTCATAGAAATAATCAAGGAGAACTCTAATATAGGAAAAGGTAAAGATACTCAGATGTATGAGGCATACAGGACCCCAGCCACCTACAACCCAAACAGAACTACACCCAGGCATATAATAATCAAAATTCCAGAAATCCAGTATAAGAACAGAATATTAAAAGCCGTCAGAGACAAGAAACAGATCACTTACAAGGGAACACCCATCAGAATTACAGCAGACTTCTTGGCACAAACCATCAAATCACGAAGAGCGTGGGGGGAAATAATTCAAACTTTGAAAGACAATAACCTCCAGCCAAGATTGGTATATCCTGCACAACTGTCCCTAGAAATTAATGGAGGAAACAATGGATGCTTCCAGGATAAAGAGGAATTAGGGGAATGTGCAACCACCAATTCAACTCTACAGAGAGTACTGCAGGACGTTCTAAAAGAGAAAAATACCAAGATTCCAGAAACAGTGGCAGAGAGGCCACAATGAATGGAGCAGAAAGCGAAATGAAAAAGACAAACTGACAACTAATGACAGAAGAAGAGCTCAACAGAAATGAGGCAGAGAAGGTTGGATGAACAGCTATTTTGGAGAAAACAAGACATCATAATAGCTAGTGCTGATTTAATAACAAAAACTTTTATAGACAAGGAGATGATATAGAAACCATTGTTCATTTTCTGTTAGTTGGTTCTAAATACCCTGTGATACTGTCATTCTCTTGAATGGTTTTACATTGTCTTGATATGTTTGATGCTACAGTATACAAAGTTATACTCAAAGATTTCAAGGAAAGAGACACTATAGTAACTACTTTTATGTCGGGATTATCTTGTGGTGAAACACTTTTGCTTAAATGGTTATGCTCTGACCTGTGCTGTTTTGTTATTTCCTCTTTTATCTCAATCTCCTTTTTTATCTTTTTAAAGGAAAAAATAAATTAAAAAAAGCAGGATATATTATAGTAACCCACTTTGATTTCCTACTAACTTGATTTGAAAGCCTGTATTGCTCTCACCATCTTGTTTTGACTGGTTTTACTCTATTCTGTTTTGCTTGATAGTACCAAGTTCGAGAGTATAGGCAACAACTGTGAAGACAATAAGATTTACTATGATGCCTATTCTGGTTTGACTATTATCTTCTTTTGAAGTCCTGTAATGTCTCCAATGTTTTGGTTTTATTGGTTTTGTGTTTGTTCAATTTTGTTATAACTGATGATACAGGCAATTCTTTTTAAGCTAGCAAGAGGCATTATGGTAACCACTGTCGATCACCTTGTATTCTGTTTTTACATTATGTACTATGTCCATCCTTTTGATTTGACTGACTCTGTTTTGTTATGTCACATTTGGTTTTATTTCCTTCAAAAAAAAAGTAATAAGAACTGTAGGAGTAATAAAACCCAAAATGTATAATTGTCATTGTAAAAAAGAGAGGAAAAGAAAGTGCTCTAAAGAATATAACTGCATGTACATTTAAGCGTGTAAGATAGATAACCATATTATTGACTTTTTGTTGGATCATTGAATAGAATTGTTTGCAGTCTCACTGTTTGAATGTCCACTTTATATGCTTAATTTTGTAATTTGAACAACTATTTCTAAGATGACAATATGTAATCTAGTGATTTCCTACTTTTTTTTTTAAATTCTGTATAACTGGGACCCTTTTTCTGTTTTTTTCTTTTTCTCCTTAAATAAAATTAAAAAAAAAAAAAAAAAGAATGCAAGTGTGCAGTTAAAAGGAACACACAGCCTGGCGGGCCTGATGCTCTGTGGCAGGGTGGGCAGACTGGAACTGACCTTGAATTCTTTTCCATCCCGAATCCACCAGCCTGCAGGGTTCCCTTGGGACTCAGGGACACACATTCACCAGATTCCCATGTCCTGAGCGGTCATCTCTCCAAGAGTTTGGCAGATGTATACCTGTTCTTCCCAAAGTGCTGAGTGAGTCACTATTCCAAGAGGAAAGAATTGAAACAAGGGATGAAATTGGTTATCAGGAAAAACAATCTATGGTCAGCAGCTAGCGACCAGCAGGGTGGCGAAGTCATACCTGGCCTCTACCCCATGGCGTTGTATTCAGGGGGCAGAGGCTGCAGACGCCCAGGGACCAAGGCACCCCAAGGTCTTCTCCCCAGGTGCTGGGTTTTAATTTCTTATGTGGTGCTTGAACTTGGTACTTCATCTTCTGGACCCTATGACGATGCGGACCACTTTTCTGAGGCCAGAGTGAAGAGCTCTTTGCTTTGCTCCGATTCTCCCTAAAGCAGGAAGCCCTGCAGCCCGGCTGCCAACACCAGCATTACCGGGGACCCCCCGCCCACAGCAGGAGGCTCTGCTTCAGCCTCCCCTCAGCAATCTCTCATTCAACAGTGGTCAATTTAAATAAAAGACCTAACACAAAAATCAGGCAAATATGTTTAATTGTTTAAAATAACTGATGGCAAAATAAAATATTTACATCACATCATACTGTGTAAACATGTAAGGTTTCTGTACAAAGAAATATACATGCAAAATCATGTAAAAATTTTAACTGAAATAATAAAAGAAATAATACACAAATAAAAGTCATGAGGTTACGGATACACATCCAGTTCTGAATCCAATTTCTTTTAAAAAGTTTCTGTACAATTTTACAAGAAACAAAATCCCAACAAAAAAATAAATAAAATACACTGGAAGCTGCAAAGCTTAACTATGCCAGTTTATGGCTCAAGACCCAGATGCGGGCTGGCTTGGGAAGCAGGCTGGTCTCTTTTTTAGTGTATTACACACAATAAAGATAAAAAGACATCCAGAAAAATTCAAGCGAGCCCAAAGCCCAGCCTCTTTTGTTGAAAGACCGCCCCACACCAGTGCCAACTCTGCCACAGTGACCTGGGCACTGGGTACCAGCCTTGGGGTGGCCAGTGCTTAATTGGCCTTAATTTCTTACCAAAAGCTCAAAATCCAGCCAATTTTTATACAGAAAGTTGAATGTCAAAAAGTTTAAAAAGTAGTAAATGTCCGGACTGATTTTGGGAGAAAAAATAATACTTTGGCATTCTGAATAATAGCATAATAATTTTAAAACATTACCCTATTATCCAGTTTTATATTCAGAGTATGAAATCACTTTTTACAGTCCTCAAAACTGACACATTTCACGAAGAGTTAAGACTCCTTGCACGGACGGCAAAGGGCTACAACAACCTCCCCCCGACACACACACACACACAAAACCATAAAGCTCACTGTACGAAGTATGTGCTTTTTCTATATATTTATTACAGGTACAACAGAGGTCTTCATAAATAGTTGCATAAAATGTTAAAGCCACAACATTGCACATGATATGAAATAAAACCAAAAAAACCCCAATGAGTGCATTTACAGTATTTTCATCTGACTGTATTCTGCTCAACAATCTGAGTGACAGCGTGGGGCAGGGCTGGGGCAGCAGGTGGGAGGGGAGGGTAGGCAGGGGTGACAGACCGAAGGCAGGAACAGTCTTATATACAAGTAAGGCCTACATTTCATCAGAGCAAAATGGTTCATCCTGTTTTAGGCAAAGGTTTGAGGTTGAACACGCGTTACAGAAGCCAAGTCTGCTGCCCTGGGAGACGTGCGCAGACATGGCGGCTGGAAAAGCTCAGTGCCAGGTGGACCTGGGGTGCTCGCCGAGGCTGCGGGAGTGGACGTCCCCTGGGTGAGTCTTCCCCAGAGATGCACAGTATCTTTGTTTTGTTCATTAACACCAGTGGTTGAACATAGGCATTTTGTTTCCTTGAATAAATCTTGAAAATGTTAAATTTGCAAAATTCTATTCATGTTCATTTAAAAAAGTATCTTTTTATGTTTTTTTTTTTTTTTGCAGAAACCTGAATAAAATACTGTGATACAGCAACGCAATCTCTGCCTCGGCAGAGCGTAACGAAGGTCCTCCACCCCAGCGCAGCTCGCAGCTCCGAGCCCAAGCGTTGCGAAGCACAGCTCGCTTGGAACGCAACTTCACACGATGAACGGATTGGCAGCGGGTCAGTTAGGTTTGCTTTCTTTTCCTCTTCAAAATTCAGTTTAACAGCTGATTGGCAGGTGAAAGAGAATGAGAGAGAACTTCAAGACAGGTCAAACTCTAGGCAGAAGCCTGCTCTGTAAGAAGTTTTTAATGCTCCGAATAGGTCGAACATCATTCTGGTGTTTGCGCCGCTCAATGAAGGAGGTCAGTCTGGATGTGTCGAGGACGCCCGAGCCCTTGCTGTTGCTGTTGCCCGCCTGCAGCCACTGCTCCTGGAGGGCCAGCGCAGCCGAGGGACGCTTGGCGGGGTCCTCCTGCAGAAGGAAGCACACAAACTCCTTGGCCTTCTGGCTCACTCCTTTAAAGTAGTCCTCTGGGAAGCTAAAGTCTAGTCGGCAAATGTTCAGGCAGGTCTCTTCCACGCTGTCGTCCAGGAAGGGGGACACGCCGCTGAGAAGCACATACGTGAGCACTCCAACACTCCACGTGTCCGAGGTCAGGGAGACAGGGTTCCCGAGGATGATTTCGGGGGCTGCAAACTCAGGGTTCCCCAGCAGCTGGTGGATGTAGTAGGTCGTGTTGAGTTGGACAGCATCTCCAAAGTCAGTCAGCTTGATCGTTGGCTTGGCCGAACTCTGATCCACCAGTATATTCTCAGGCTGGAACACAGGACAAGACAGCTGTCATTTCCAACACCCCTGGTCTGAAGCCAACCCCGATGGCTGTCAGAAACTTTGCCGAGGGGGAAGGCATCTGTGCAGCTCTGTCCACAACTCTCAGGGTTGAGCAGGAAGTGGGGTGCTCAGTTCTCCCAGCACTATGAGTACCACTCTCTTCCCCTTCTACGCTTCCACTGACCTCAGTCCTGTACCACGCCAGCAAAACCCACAGAAACTTTCCAAAACCCTCGTGAAATATTGGAAGATTGAGGTTTACCTAGCATTCTACAGACTGTGTACATCACTGAACACAACCCTTGGACACAGTCAGGAATTCGTGTTCAATTCCTCTCTGTCCTCCCTCCTTTCCCCCAGGCCCCGCAGCATGTGTGGGAGCCAGGCATGGTGAATCCTGCCCGGTCCAGCCCTGGGTCTGCCCACCTTTAGGTCCAGGTGTGCTATCCTGCAGTTGTGAAGGTATCGGACGGCTTCCAGAACCTCCCCCAGGTGCGCTCTGATCTTCCCTTCGGTGAGGCTTCCCCATCGTACCACGCAGTCCAGGAGGCGACCCTGGTCAGCCCTACAGAGGCAGGAATGAGGGCATCGTTACGGCATGCTTCCCCTTACTGACTCCTTCAGGCTACAAGAAAGGAACACGCTGGACCACCGCGAAGATTTCACTGGTATTTCTGGACCAGACAACAAGGGCCGTTCTTTAGAGCTTCACTGTGAAGATGAAAGTGGCAAACAAGGTGCCCATCTGAGGGAACCAGATGGTGGAGACACTCACAGGGATTCCCCGACCCTGTCCTGGGAGGAATGGCTGGCGAGTACGTGGCAGTGCCTGGCACCCAGCTGGCATTCTGGAGCCACCTGGTGCAGGGAGGAAGGAGATTATCCCACTTCACTCTGAGCCTTGGTTTCCTCGTCTGTAAACTGGCCATGTGAAGACTGCATGAGATCATATAGTTAAGAGCCAGACAATAGAGCAACGCAGTGTTTAAAATTTGCCTATTGGGACTAACTCCCCCACCCCTTTCTCTTTCCCAGTCCTGGGATGAGCCCAGGGCCCCAGCCCAGCAGGGGAGCTCTCCACCACTAAGCAAGAGTGCTGTCCCTCTTCCTTTTGACACAAGCTCAGACTGGTCTCAAACTCTGATCCTTTGCCTCAGTCTTCTGAGTAGCTGCATTACAGGCATGATCCACTACACCTGGCTTCAACTCACTTCTACTATGAAAAAGCCACACAGTGCCTGTTGTGTACTAGATCTAAAAGCTGAGAATTCACTTAACCCTCACTGCTGTCTGAGCAGTGCACTTCCCCTTACAGAGGAGGAGAAAGCCCGGCAGAGAAGGTGCACACCTCCCGGGGCCAGGCTGCTAAGCAGAGGTGCTGGTGCTAGATGGACCCCCTCGGAACACTGGCCTAGGCTGCCCTCTTCGTTGGCAAAACAAATTTACAGGAAGACTGGCCACCTGTCTGTCTAGTAAGCAGGAGTAATCAGTGCATTAGTTATTTGTGATGAAAATAAAAACTCTGTATGGTGAGGCCAGACTGCAATTGTTCAGCAAAAAGGTCTGACAGTTGTCAGCACTGAACCTTCAGACCAGAACTAAGGCCCGGGAGATTTCTGCCAAAGGCTCAAATGACAGTTCTTGTTCACTGTGTGAGCTCCCTCCAAAAAGGAGCCCCAGGTCTGGAGCTTAAAGGCCGAGTCACCAGCCTTGGTTGCCAGCTCTTTCACGTCACTGTGTCTGAGCCCCACATCCCCATGCAGAAGTTGGATTTTGGAGGCACCAAAGTTGAGAAATGAGCTGGTGAGAGGTGAATGGGGGCCACTGCTGCCCCTGGGGCGGCTGCTCCCCTCTGCTGTGTGACACGCCATTTGGCAGAGGGCTGGAAAGCTGGCCCCTGGGTGCAACAAAGTTTCAGCTGCAGCACCGTGGTGGGAGGGTCCTCCGGAGGTCCCTACTGTGATCCAGGGACCAGCGCTACCCGCAGAGGGTGCAAGTCTGGACCTGGGGCTGCCTGGGCCCTTTGCAGCCTCGCCCTGTGAAGGGAGGGCGCATTTTCAACTTTGTGGAAAAAAACAACAAAAGAACCCGCCCAGAAGCAGGGCGGTCAAGGCGTCCCACAGGGTGTCTTGTCATGAGTCTTGCCACCTCGGCGTGTCTACTCCTGTATGACATTATGTCCTGCCCATCCTATTCTCCTACCCAAGACAATGAGTGAAATGATTTCCTCCAAAAAGGGGAGTAGGGACTTAAAAAGATGCTTTGCAGAGACTAGAAAGCTGAGGGGCAGGGTTTCTCAGTCTGCCTGCTCCATCTGGGCAGGTGACTGCACCCTGGCTGGGTGACTATCCTGTGCCTTAAGGAGGGAAGCCGCCCCTGGGACTCTGCCCACCAGATGGCCCCAGAACCTGTGACAGCCAGATCTCCAGACACCTCGTCACCTCTGGGAGGAAACGCCTGCAGAAAAGCATTTCTCCAGGGTCACAGCTTCACACACGCTTTTTCCACCCAGCTGCCTTGTTTTCTGAGGTCTCACAGAGGCTGCTCTCTCGAGGCAGGTGTGCTGGCCCTCCCCACATAGTCAGCTTCCCGGGAGGCAGCCCTGAGAGGCAGGACGAGTCCTGGATTGAGCTGACACCAGCATGGTCCGTCACAGGTCACAGCAGGTGCCCTTCAAGCTCTGAGCACACACGGCCCTCAGTGGGTGCCGGGTGTCAGCTTTTCCAAGCCTGGGGTCCAGGCTGGCTGTCAGGCTGGCAGTGGAGCTGTGGGGCCCGGGATAGCACAGCGTGAAGACATCTCCCATGACCAGAGGTGCTAAAACCTGGTCTTGGAGTCAACTTAATGTTTAGATATTTTGTGAATTCTAAAAACCCAGTTTCTAGCCTTCTTAGAGAACAAAAAGAAAAGACAAGGACAGCATGGAAAGAAGCCAGGTGAGGACGCACATTTCCAAAACGAGGACGTAGCTGGTGGGGGTCTCGAAGGTGTCAAGGAGGCCAACAAGGAGTGGGTGCTGGAGGTTCTGCAGGATGCCGAGCTCATGGGTGACCTGGTCACGCTTCATCAGTTTCTTGTTCACAAACTTGGTGGCCACTGCTCGCTTGGTTCCTTTCTGATCACATTTCTTAACAACAGCAAATCTCCCCCTGTAGGATGTTGAGATCACTGTCAGAGGACTCACAGATGTGACAAGAGCAAAGAGGCTGTTCCCTGGAGGCTGGTTAGGAGCCAGAGCGCTGTCTGTGCCCTTGCCTGCACCGCTGTGCCCGAACTCTGTCTGGGTTAGATGATGTGGGACCTCGGGTGGAGCCTGCCGTCACAGGGCAGGGCAGCGTAGGATGAGGGAGTGGAAGGGCTGCCGCGACACTCCTCCCTCCCACTCCCTCTCCTCCCGCAGCCCTGGCCAGGGTGGTAGGAGGTGCGGCTATGGTCCTGAAGCTCCCGCGCCTGCCCTTCCGGAGCAGCTTCTCCACCACTGCAGAAGCCCTGTGAGTGTCTGTGCAGGCGGCCTCACAGGCCCAGGTATTTGAGGGAGGCACTGGGAGAATGACAGTGTCTGCCCAGCCAACCCACAGCACTGAGTGGGAGCACATTGCTTCTGGTGAGAAGCAAGCAGGGGACACTTTATTACGTGGCCACACAGAACTGCCAGACCCAACTGGAGCACGTGGCCCAGGTACGGCGACTGCAACATGGGCATGTGTTGCTGGTGCAGCTTCCCAGGAAGCTCTTCCAGAGGGACAGGTGAGCAGGGCTTGGGCTCCTGAGGTCTGGCACCAGTGAGCTGCTGGGCCCTGGACACCCTTGCTCCTCTATGTTGAGACCTCTTAGTTTGGTCAGGAAAATGCCAACAGTAATGATGGTATAATTCCTTTAAGTCTCCACGGACAACTGAAACCTCCAGGGCACAGTCAGCCTTTCCCTCTCCCACAAGAGAACAAAGCGGTCAGTGGCTCTTCTGAAGCCTCTGGGGTGGTGCCCAGCAGCGCTGTTCCAACGTGCAGGTGGGCAGGAAGCCAGTTCATTTCATAAAGGGCTTCCTGTGCCTGTGGCGGCAGGGTCTTGTTCTCTCCGGAACCCAAGCTGGACACAGCTGTTTTATTGTCCAGTGCTAGCTTTCACACAGCTACTCCAGAGCAGAATGCCCTTCCCACCCAAGCCAGGTGCTCCCGTTGTCTCGAGGAGCCCTGTGACAGTGAGGTGTGCTTAGGTGGGGCTCCAGGGTTTGCCTCCTACCTGCCCAGCTCAGCCACTTCGCTGTAGAAGGCGTCAAAGTTGTCCTTCCAGGCCACCACGATCCCGTCACTCCCTGGACCTGCCAAGAGGGCAGCAATTCCCCTGAGCGGCCCCCAGCAGCTGCCAGAGGCCCCTAGGAGTGAGAGGCGCCCGGCAGGGCAAGGAGGTGTTTAGTGACGCACACACGCGACAGGAGGTGAAGTGGCTCATAAACCACTTACAGAACCAGGCTGAGTCACTGTCTCACATTGAAAGAAATGCTTTGGATATCCTGGATTAAACTAAAGGTTAGTAAAGTCAGTCCTACTTCTATTTTTAAAAACCACCTTGATAGAAAATGTGAAACTGCTCTGAGGTCTCAATGGGTCGCTGGAGGACACGCTGCGGGATGGCCCTTCCTGCTCACCAGGCTCGGTGGCCTCAAAAGGACGCCTCTGTCACAGGCAAGGGAACCCAGTGCAGTATCTTTATTTACCGCTTAAAGATTTTATAGGTCCATAAATCAAACAGGCTGTGAGTGCAGGTCAGATTTTCCTGCGGAGTGCCAACCAAATAGCACCTGTCAGTCATGAGCATGTGGCACAATATCCAGAGGAAAAGGAGGCGTTCTTGCAATCCTCTTCCCCAAGAATGGTCACTAAGCCACCAACAGCCCCAGAAGCATGGCTTCTGTCCACAGGGGCTCCCAGGAGTCTCAGCGCCCCCAGACCCCACCTCTGCTAGCAAGGTCGCCTCTCTCCACCGGACTCCTCCAGCCCCCTTGCTGCACGCATGGCACCAGCTCTTCCCTTCCTAGCCTGGTCTCCCAGCGCGCCAGGCTGCTCCCTGCAAGGACTTCTGGCCGGGCCACTCCAGGCCCCACAGGCTGCCGTTCTCTGGCCTGCCTTCTCTCACGGGAGCAGCACCACCGAACGGCTCGCTTAGGAAAACAGTTAGCTACTGCACTTAGGCAATTTTGGAAAATCTACCATATCTCAAAAAGGAATGCCAAATTTTTACCTATGTGAAGGTAACATTTTTTTCTCCTCTAGCCTTGTTTTGTTAAATAAACATTTCCTCTTAGGTGTTACATACAGAGAAGTCCACAGACATAAACATTAACTCTTGATCAACCTGAGGAGGAGCTCTCCAGTGACTGCGGCCCAGTCCCCGTGGGCTCACAGTGCCACCCGGTGGGCCCCGCCCACCGTCATCACCCTAAGCCTGGCATTCTGGCCTGCAGGTGTGCTTAAAGTGCGGAGGTGCGTGGGCCACTCCTGTCCTGAGCTGGTGTCACTGTGCTCAGCTGAGAAATGACTGGGGCTTGGGTGGCAGCGAGGGCCAGAGGGACTTCTGACCTCCTTAGACACTCGAAGGGCACTCTGCAAACAGGACCTAAGCCACCACTGGAAACCAACGTCCCAGAGACCCCTGCCTGCAAATGACACGACTCCTCACAGAGGACAACTGAGACAGGACAGCCCGGTGGAATGGGCCATGTGACATTCTCCTGAAGACCTCAAGGGGCCACAGATGGGTTTTGTGACAGAACTGCTCACACACCCCATTATGTTCCCACTCACATCTCCATGGTGTGACGTCTTGGAGTCAAATCTCTCCTCTTCAGGAGTGACTTACTAAAAAATAACCAACTATGTAACTCCTAGGAGAACTTTTAAAATTTAGAGAGTCAGCAATACCTTATTCTTAAATTCAAGACTCTGTTCCTTCCCATGGTGACCCAAAACCAGAGCCTGACCCTTTCTCTGACTACATGGGTTGGGGTACATGGGATACAGTTCTAAACAACACCTGCTCACTGGTCTTTCACACACACTACTCTAGAGCTTATTTCATCTTTGTGTTTTTGGGACAGGGTATCACTTTGTAGTTCAGGCTGGCCTCAAACTCACAGGGATCCTCCTGCCTCAGCCTCCCAAGTGCTAGGGTTACAGCCGTGTGCCCAGCTTTCTGTCATCTTAGAGTGGGGCTTTTTATTTGTTGCTGTTTGAGCTTCTCACACATGGGGCAGTGGAACGATGTCCTGCTGCTGTTTTGCAGCTTCCAAACAGGGTGATCAGAAGCCAGGTGACACCTGCTGCCTTCTGGAATCTGCCCAAGAAACTCCAAGAAGTTCAAAGAGGGCCTATACCAGCTTCCACCTTGCTCATTAACAGTGGAGTGGGGAGGGCCTTGGGGGAAGCCCTGGCGGGTGTCCTGTTAATGCCCAGGCAGCCCCAAGTTGAGTTAGCCAACTTGGACCGGAGGGGTTGGTGGACACGCCTTTCCTTCCCGTGCCTTCCTTATACCAGCTCCACCCCCAGGGGGAAGCCTGGTGGAAGAATGCACTTGGAGGATGGAGCATGGTGGCACCATGTACGGTGGCTACTGTCACCCTCCTCCCAGGATTGGGAGTCCTCAGGGCCCTGTGCTCCTTTGCAGAGCTGGCAGGAGAGTGCCCTGTGACATCCTGATGTGTACCTCTCCTGTGGGAGGCCCACGGGCTTCCAGTTCTGCAGAAAGTTTTTTTTTTTTTTTTTGTCTTTTTCCTTTTTATTGGTACCAGGGATTGAACTCACGACTGCCTGGAGGGCAGGTGCTTATGCCGCTGAGCTAAATCTCCAGCCCCCGTTCTGCAGAAACTTTAGGGCACATCGCCTTCCTGGGCTCTGGGCAGAAAGGAGACGCCCGCGCAGGTGGCTCACCTAGAACCCTCAGGCTGGCAGCCGAGGACGCTGACCCCATGTCATTCACAGCGATGCACGTGTAGATGCCGTCGTCTTCTGTGGTCACGCCGATGATCTTCAGAGTGGCCTCCCCCAAGTCACTGCCACACACAGGAGAACGTGGGTGTCACTGAGGCTGAATACTCTGGGCACCTTCAGGCTACAGGCAGGCAGGTGCTCAGCGCTGGTGACGAGTCTGAAGTGGCTGGCATCTCACAGCCAGCTATGAAATGCGCACTGGGACTGTCCAGGTGCTGATGGGAACCGAGAATCGCTCTCAGCCAGGGACGCCCCTCACCTGTAGGAGATGCTGTAGTGGCCGTCATTGTTCAAGGTGTTGTGTTCAGGGCCCTTCCAGGTGATCGAGGCCTTGGGCCGGCCACAGACACGACATCTAAGAACAACGGTCTCCCCTGTCTCACACGTGACCTCACTCAGCGGGATGACGAACTCTGGGGGAACTGTAAGGAAGGAGCCCCGTCAGCCGGCTGCCTCTGCTCCCACACTCCAGGCTTCCCTAACTGACCAGCAAGTGAGCCGCTGCCTGAGTGCAGAGCACCAAGGAAACCCACTCCTGGGGCTCCCTGGGAGCTCTGAACACCTGGAGACCTGTGGCCCCGAAGCTGGAGGAGGCGTGGCGGAACTCACCGTCATAAATGTAGTTGGGGTTGAGAAGCTGAAATGGAGAAGGGAAACAGGCATTAACCAAAAGCACGAGCGATTTCTGAGGAGGTTTCCTCTTTGATTCCAGGGCTACAGTTCTAGTTGCAGGCTGAGAAGAAATCCAGCTTGGCCCTCCAGGGCTCATCAGAGCACACCACCTTCCTTCCAGTGCGGGGCCAGGCTCCCGACCAGGGTGCCCGAAGTCCCTTTGAGGACGCATTTTCCTTTCTGCCAGGCAAAACTCCCACAGGTCTCAGGCAGCCTGACAGACAGCACTGTAAAGCCGCTGGGGCTCCCGGGGAAGCGGTGAGAGCCATCGCAGCTGCGCCTGCACCTAGTCACTTCCCCTCCCACCTAAGGGGACAAGGAAGCTCGAGACACAGCCTCTCCATGCCCGCTAGTCCCTGAAAACCTCCTCTGTGCCCCTGGCCCGTCAGCATGCTCTCTGTAGGCCTGCTGAGGAGCTCCCGATGCTTCTCGCAGGGGCCCCAGGTGGATGGGGAGGCTGTTCCCGTGAGGTCCGCACCCGCTCGGCCCCGGTGACAGGGCCCGGGCGCCTCCTGCTCACCTTCACAGATACCTTGTTGCTGAGTCCTTCCCGAGATTTCCGATAACCATTCTCTAACTTGCCTTCCCTTTTGCCGTCTTTATCTTTTTTCTCAGATTTTTTCCTTAAGCGGAGTGCTGTGTGCCAAGACGTTGACTTCCTGGGAGGAAAAGAACAGCTGTGAGTTTACCCTGTCCCACGTCTGTCAGGTGCTCAACGCACAAGGGATGGAGTGACCCAAAACCCTTGGGCACTGTGCAGCGACCTCCCCTCCACTGTGCAGCGACCTCCCCTTTCCCAGAGCACGCAGGGCGGGAGAGGAAACCGAAGCCCTCCTAAGCCCTGCTCTGGCGATGCAAGCGTGGACGGGACAGAGCAGCTAATGCTAGGTGTCAGCTGACTGGGCCTCGCTGTGCCCTGGCACCTGGCCCAGCAGTTTGCGTGCTTCCGGCTGAGGCACCCATTCTAACTGGGTGGGCTGCTGGCCCAGTTCTCTCAAGAATCCTGCTGAAGGGCTCCAGGACGTATTCTGAGGAAACCAAGTACTAGCTGGGACTTTTTCATCTCAGATTCCTTTTTCATCCTTTTTCATTTTAGGATTCTAAACACCTGCAGAGCGGATTCTTGAATGGTACAGCACAATGAGTGCTCTGCTATCAGGAAGAAATGGGCAAGGGGCTCCCAAGGAAGGAGGGACACTGGCTGACCCTGGGCGTGGGTGTGGCCACGTGGGAAGAACAGTGTGACAGAGCCTTGTGTCTGGTCTTCTCGAGAAGACGCTCAAGTCACCAAGTGCAGTGATACCCTAGTCCTGGAAACCATCTGGCTTGACCTCCAGCACAGACAGCACTTCTGCAAGACGGAGGGAAGGGAAACTGCAGAAGCAGCACCAGTCCAGTTTTCCTGAGATGCTGTTCAGTGCAGCATGGAAGGCCCATGGGTTGCCGGTTCTGCAGAAACTTTAGGGCACCCTGCCCTCCCGGGCAGAAGGGAGCCGCCTGTGTAGGTGGCTCACCTAGAACCCTCAGGCTGGCAGCTGAGCACGCTTCCCTGCAGGCTGGTGAGCACCAACCCAATGTCCCTGGCACACCCTCCATCACCAGCTGGGATCCTCAGAAGCTCCTCTCTCCCCACCAGGGGCCCCATGTGGTGCCCCGTGATCAGAAAAAGTTGGGTGTTTCTAAGGGCATGTTAATGAAAGAACCTGCTGCAGTGAGCCGGAGGGTGGGAGGGTGCCCTGCCTTCCCTGGGGGGCTCACGGCTTGCTCAGCAAGCAGCTGGCTCAGGTGGGACTCTGGCCCAGCCTCCCACGTGCACCGCTCCCTGGTTCCAGCCATCCCACGGGTGGCATCCCCACCAGCACTCACTTGAGAGTCCCGTCGGGGTTCTCCATGAGGACTGCACTGGTATGGCCCAGGACGAAGCCTGGAATCCAGCCCTCGGCTGCGGGACACTGGTCAGTGGCGGCTCGGAACACCAGAAACATGTTCTGCTGGTTGCTGGCCAGAATTTGAACGACCTCTCCTTGATAAACGTTTATCTCATCCTCCTTCACTGCCGTGTAATCGTGTGTCACCAACATGGTGGAGATGTTGCTACTGCTGCTACTTTCACTCTGTAGAGGGGCAGACGGAAAAAGAAAGGCAGGCGGGAACTGAAATGAGATCTGACAATGCGCGCCAGGACCCGGGACCCACAGCAGGCGCACTCCACCAACAGGAAGAGGTTTGGAACTTGCTTACGTTCACAAATCCCCAGCCCCTTTTAAGTTTTGAGACAGGGTCTCAGTAAGTGGCTAAGTTACTCAGGCTGGGCTCAATTCTTGCTCCTCCTGCCTCAGCCTTCCAGAGTGCAGGGATTACAGGCACGCCTAACTTTCACTTCACTCTTCTCACTAGCTTAGTGCAATGTTTTCAACACCTGAAAATCAGGATTTCTCCAGACAGCAATTAAAACAAGCTAAAGAAAAAAGAAGAAACACCAGGACAGGGCTGCCTCTCTGGACGTTTGGTGTTAATTACTGCAGCCTGGTTTTCCTATGCTCTCCTGAGTAGCAGAGTCCTTGGGCTCATGGCACAGTAGGGTCGCCCCTGTCCTAAACAGTCACAGCATCATGAAGCATTAAGTTTAAAAGCTGGACAGCAGTACTCCAGCTCACTGATAGACTGGACAACGGAGATGCCCCCATCTCTTCTGACAAATGTTCATCAGGATCAGTATCCAGAATTACAGGCTGCTGGCTAGCCAATGTCTACCGTTTTCACTTAAGAAAAAAGGTGGAATATCTGAAAAGTCCATCTTCTGCTTTTACAGTTGCATGTGTCTCCTTCCCATGTCCCTCGGCAGGCAGTACCCTGGCTGAGTCCTAGGGTACCTTGGGAACACAGGCATGGTACCACAGTGCCACCAGTGCTACTAGCCTTTTGGGGAGAGACTCACGTGGGAACACTACCCTTGTTTGTGCTGCGGCCCCAGTGGTGCCAATCTCTCTGGCCACAATGACCGACACCTAGTGCGCTCTCAGGGATGGTTAGGTGACTCAAAGGCAAGACTACGAAGTCAGCAAAGCTGACATCTCGGTGCCACCTACCCAGACCCACAAACCAACTGAGCTGCTGCTGAGCAGAACCAAATGGCAGCTATCTGTCCTAGGCTCTTATCTCACAAATGACCTACTGTTCTAGGGGAGGAGGAGATAGCTGAGACCACTGCCAGTTCCTAAGCTACCTCTTGGGCCACTCTCTGCGTCCAGTTAGGATGTGGGAAATGGCATCCAGAACCCCTTTTCCTGTGAGCTTGTTCTCAAAAGCTCCCGTGGTGCTATGGGGTGTTCAGCTGCCCCTGCTGGCTCTGGGATGCCTAGCAGGGGACAACTCTGCATCCCACCTGATCAGCTGTGGTCTAGTGAGCCTGCCTGGGGGAGGAGCCAGAGGCCCTCTAGGACACCAGCCTGGCAAGGTCAGTGAGCCAGCCCTGTGTCACAGGGACCAGAGCAGCCACCTACTTGCAGCCGACACGTTTTAAATCGGGACCTGGCAGTGCTGTGTGCCACCAGGCAGCAGCCAGCTCCTGGCCCTCTTCCTGTGGGTGCCCTCTGCTTTAGCTCAAGAGGTGCCACTCATGTCAGGCTCTGGTCTCTACCACTCTGGTCTCTACACTGTAAGCATGTACTTCAACATTTTATTTCTATGGCAATACCTAACAGTTTTGATATTATGGAGTTACAGGTGCTATAAAATAATGTCAAAAAAATTTTTTTGTGGTATAGCTGCTTTGGGTAGTGTAACAGGCTACATCTCATAGTTTGAATATTTTGTCCCAATAACCTCAGCTATTAGTATTTTCTGAACAAAATCTCCCTACGTGGTAGGCTGTGCATAGGGCATTTCAAATATGCCCCCCTCAGTACTCACAAGCGCCTTGCCAGTGGACATGGCATTGGCGACTCAGGCTGGGGAGTGAGTGGGTCTGTGAGGGCCACCTGGCCGGAGGGACAGGTAGGAGAGAAGCCAGACCAGAGTGGCAGCGCGGGACAATACAGGCATGGCGGGGTTGTTCTGGGCTCACTCCACCCTGTTCTCACCAGAATCTGAAGCAGGGAAGGAGTGTTGAGCTGGGGGTTAGGCACAGCCACCTGCCTGTGCCCAGCAGCTGCCTGAGATGGCTCGAGAGCAGTGGAAAAGGAAAAGGAAAAGGGGCCTCTGCTGCTACTGCTGCTCTGCCAGGGCTGACAGCTCTGATGGGTGGAAGCCAAAAAAAGGCTGGTTTTAATCCAGTTACTGGACCCGAGGATGCTTTCAGATCCTCCCTTTGGGCCTCCGGCTGTCTTCCCAGGCCTCAGGCCATTCTGGAAGGCATTAGGTTTCCTCTAAAACATGGGCAGTCTCCTTTTCCAGGTTACCTACCATGCAAGAAATCAAAGGCATCTCTCCTAGCCGAAGGCCACTGCACCACACAGGCCATGCCTGCAGCCGGGCCTCAGCATAGGCCAATGCTGGGGAGCAGGGCGGTGGCACTCTGTGGCCACGCAGAAGCGTCCAAGACTTGGGAGACTTTCTCTTCCTATGCTTCTTGGGTAAGGGTTCAGGTCACGCAGGCTGACCTTGTAACAGCCAGGGCTGTTGGGTCATGCCTGTTCCCTGGGCAGACAACAGGGGCTGGCAGGTTGTCCTAGCTACTAGAGCTGCCTTTGGACGTGTGCTGCCCACCTAGTGCTTCCAGTCTAATAGGAAGCACTCTCCCTTGCTCTGCACAGCACCCATAGTGAAGAGACGGACATCCACTACTGAGGACATCTGCCCCTACTTTTGAGAGTAACACTTGGTGTAAATAAACCCATTGAGACCCACTTAATTTCTTCCTCAATCAAGTATAGTGAACAGAATTATGTAGCGAAGGAGGAAAGGCTCAGACCAAGCTGACCCGAACAAAGAGATTAACAGAAGTGCAGAAGAAAGAGACATGCAGGAGGCAGACTTGTTTATATATACACACACAGAGACACAGACCCTTTCAGGGAAATGTATTTAAAAATTTATAAAGTGATCGAACACTCATTAGAACAGTTCTTTTCACTCACGCATGCCTTCAGGAAAGTGTTACGGGCCAGGCCATCTGCCATGGAGGACACAGTTGGAGGACAGTGAGAAAGCCACAGAATGGGGTGGGGGTGGGGACCCAGCACAGTCACCTTTCTGCTTGAGAACAAAGGTAAGTGACAGCAGTGAGCTGGAATGCCCCGCCCACCACAGGGCACTGTGCCCCCTGCCGGACAGATACCATGAGTGCTACCCGCTGTGGCCTGAGGCCCTATGCCTGTGGCCAGGAGCAGGAGCGCGAGCATCTTTTCTCCAGAGCGAAACTTGGGGTGCAGCAGAAATATTCCCACCGGGGAGATTCCTTCCCCCCCTTTTGGCCAGCTTAGTTTGTTTGGAGTTGCTGTTGGAAGTTTTCTTGAGGAATTTTTTGTTCATCAGATGAATCAAAAATGCTGCAAAAATAAGGCATAAAAGAGCAAAACCAAGCAATGAGCAAAAAGCTTAAAGTGTAAGGTTTCGATTTAAACAGGAGGTAGACAGCAGGAAAAAGACCACTCCAAACCAAAAGGAAAAAAACAGTGAGGAAGGCAAGGGCTGAGAACCAAGTCCGAGACACTCTGCAGGCTGGAAAACCGAGAAGTCTCAGGCGCTGCACTGAGGAGGTTAATGATCTGCTGCTCTTGTTAAGAAGACGAACAAAGCGAGGAGAGGAGCGAGTTAGTAGAGACGAGAGCAGGCGCGGTCCGCAGTCCTCGGAGGGTTAGGGGTGCTGCGGTACTGGATCGCTCGGCAGGCACAGAGGCCACAGCCAGTCTGTCATGCAGCGCCTGGGTACTGAGGCGAGTGCCACTGGGCAGTGCTGCGGAGCTGGAGTTAGTACGCAGGAGAACCGTGGCGACACAGGAGGTTTAGAAGAGCTGGCGGGACAGAGGCGGTGGGGCGGGCGGGCGCAGGCTCCCCGGCGCTCTTACCCCATTGCTCTGGGTGGACTGCACGGACTGCTCGCTGGCCGAGGAGCAGGTGCTCATGCGGTCCGTGTCCTTGCTGGGGGCTGCATGGCGGTGTGTCTGCCGCTGGAGGGAGTCACTGTCCCCCGGGAAGGTGAAGGAGCCGGGCCGGCTGGCGGGGGAGCTGGGGATGGAGCTCCAGAAGGAGCCCCCCTTTTGTAGGGGGCTGCTGGGGGGAAAGGGCTCCTTGCCGAAAGAAGGGAACGCGGCAGAGAGAGGAGAGTTCAGAGGCGAGACGGCCCCGGGCCTGGGCTTGCCTAGGGTCAGCGGGCCCAGGCTCCCCCGGGCGTCCTTGGCGGTTCCTTCTTGGCTCGCACCAGAAGCATTGCCGGTGGCCTTCCTGGGGCTCTCCATCACCTTCATCTTGGGGATGGGCTCTGCTTCCCGCTCAGGGCCTTCGGAGTCTCCGCTCGGGGGGAGCTTGCTGGGCTGGCCAGGGCCAGCCTCGGGGACCAGGCTGCTGCTGCGGGGAGGCAGTGAGGGGCTGGGAGCGGACATACCTGACATCTTGTCTGCCTCTGCCTGGCTGGAGGCTGCAGAGGAGACCAGCATGGGGGGGTGGTGTCTGACAGGCTGTGGAATCCGGGAGGGCCTGCTCCTGCTCGAGCTGGGGACACTGCTACAGCTGCTAGGGCCACTTCCGTGGCTGCCGCCACCACCACTGGAGGCCCCGCCGCCGCCGCTGCCCCCGCCCCCGCTGCCGCTGGCCCCGCTGCCACTGCCGCCGCCCCCGCTGTGGTTCCTCTGGTACTCGATGGGTGATGTCAAGGCTGTAACCAAGCAAGACACAGTGGGAGACTCAGTCAGGGCACCAAGGAAAAGCAAACCACAGGGCAAAGGAGAAAGGGGCGTCATGTAATCAGAAGGAGGCGCTGGCAACCTGCTGTCAGCAGGACCTACAGGTGCCCACGCTGTTGGCACCAGTGGTGGGAAGGGCAGAGAAAATGCCTTCTGCACTTCCTGCCTGTTTCCTCAAGAGCTCAGATGACTGTGGTGTGCTCACAGGGCGCAGGAGAAGGCAGAGCCAGGGGGCTGAGAATGGTGAGACTCCCCACAGCAGGCAAGCAGCCTCTGTAACAGGCGGCCCGCAGCGACCCTGGGGAGGGGGACACCAAGCAAGACCCGTGAAGGTCTCCTTTAAATCAGCAGCAGCCGGGCCCAGAAATGGCTGAGGACAGTGTGACCTGCAGCCATCTACCACACAGAAGCAGCCATGGAGGCAAGGACAGGCAGAGGGCTCTAACCTCCCTGTGGGTCAGGCAGCTGTCCTCCCTCTTGACTTCTAGGATTTTACCACAGTCATCTGGATAAAAACGGAGGAATTGACAAACAGGACTCCCAGCAACATACACACATTTTCAGGTGTGCAGACCTCTAGGATACAACCACCAGCTACAGCGACTCCTCCGGGGATGCCCTGCAGGCTGTGAACTCCCACAGAAGGGAGCAGAGAGGAGGCACAGGCCAATGCGCAGCTGTGGGCTAGAGCTGCCTCCAGGAGCGCACGTGCCCAGAGGTGGGACTCAGGGCCGGGGAGTGGATGAGCAGCAGATTAACCCACCCATGAGGCCCTGGTTGCACCCCTGTTCAGGATAGGCCTGGCTGGAGGAAGCCGAAGCTGAAGCCGGCCCTGGGGTGCCTCCCTTCCCCTCTCTCCGGTGCTCGCCTCCTGGCTGCTTCCTAGCTGCCAGAATTCAGCATCTTTCCTCTGCCAGGTAATTTCTGCCTTTGAGCTAACTGACTGCAGATTAAAACTTCTGAAACTCTGAGCTATCAGGTATTTTGTCCCAGCAATGAAAAGATGATCAACACACCTAGAGTTCCTGTTTCCCTCCAGAGTACTGTGTGGGTGTCAGTAAACGTTAACATCACAGCCTAAACATGTTTGCAATTTGGGGCAGATTATTCCATTTTACACGCAAAGATAACAATTTAGAGATTCCTAAAGCCCAGGCTCTGAAATGATGTTGGTATTGCACATTTCAGAACTACACATTTAAAGAACGCTTCCACTTGTGGCCACAGAATCTGATTTGGACTGCGAATGTCAATGATTATCAGCCAGTAAGCTGACAGGAGCCTGGAGGGAATACCTAGGCAGCCACTTGCCACCCAAATGCCACGTGACTAAAGGCTCTTCCCTGAGTGCCTGTGAATGTAACGTGATGTGTGTGTGTGTTCCTCACAACAGATGACAACAGCCACCTCGACAACAGCCACCTGTGCTGGGAAGTTGACTCAAGATGGATGTGCAAACAGAGCAGGGAACAGTCAGGGTACTTGAGCAGATCACTTCCAACACTCCCAGTGCTCCTCACTGGTCTCCAAGTGAAACCCAGAGTGAAGCTGCAGTCACAGAGCCATCACCTAGACGGAGTGGCAGCATGAAGCCAGCGTGCTGCTCTCGGCTCAGCAGCTCTCTGTAATCGCTTGAGTCAGAGGAACTGGGAACAAGAAAAGTGTCTGGTTTTTAGTGGACAGGGAGGTGTGGCACGCAGCACACCGACCCTGTCTCCAACAACTCTGGCCCTCCTGTTCCACCTGCCTCACTTTCTTGGACCTTCGTCTTTCTAGGACGGGTTCTCATATATACCCTGTGAGTGATGGGGGAAGAGTACAGCTGTGAGCAAAAGCTAAGGGTCCAATGGCTATTTCAAATTCAGACTCTGCCACCACTCTGTGCCTCAGCTTCCCCATCTGTAAAATGGGCACAACGGCAGCATTTGCTCCACTGGCCAGGATGGTGCCTGGTGTAAGGTAAAGGCTAAGCTCTACCATTATTATTAATACACAACAGGAGACACAGGAGAAACAGAAAGAATGCATACATTAGTGAGGAAGACACACATGGAAGAACAGAGCAGACATTACCATTTAAAAAGTTGCGTTGGTTTTCTAAGATTTGGTTGATTTCATGGATCCATGTTTGCCGGACACTTGGACTGGATGAATGCAAAATGAAAGTCTCCACCATATCACCTGTCCTTGATGTCAGGGCAAATTTACAGGGATCGTTTTCCACATTTTCCTCCAGGCAGAGGCAACTCACCTTGAAAGGATTAAAGCATTATTCACAGTAACTAAGAGAAGCAGCCCAAACATCTGAACGCTGATGCATGGATAAACTACCTGCGCTGTACAGACAACAAGGTGTGAGTTCAGCTTTAACAGGGAGGGATGTCTGACTCACGCTGCAGGCCGTGCATGCTGGAAACCTATACTCCGTGCAAGGAGCCAGGTACAAAGGGACAAGCACTGTGCATCTGCACTGAGATGGGTCGCTGGGGCAGCCAGCGGTGGGAACCTGCACCCTGCGCACGTGCGCCACAGACAGTGTTTGTAGCAATGAAAGCTCTCCAAGGTTCACCGTCGCTGATTTCGGACTCAAGGGATGAGAGGACCAGCACCCGCCTCTCCCAGGGACCTTTTGCTGAGCATCTGCTTCCACCATCCTGCCTCGCCCTTGGCTGCGTCACAGATTTAGCACCATTTGCAGTTATTTTCTGTTTTTTTTTCCCCATCAGAGGGCAAACTACATAAGGGCAGAGTGCGTCTGTCTGTCCAGCCCTAGCCCATGCCTGACATGGGTGCTTGGGACCTCTTTGCTGAACAGGAGAAAAGAATGGGACACTGTGTGAGCTCCTGGCTTGGTGGAACCCCATGGCTGTGCCCCTGCCTTCCAACACAAGTTTTATACGGTCCCAGGCAGTGCATGGTCACATGTGTGTGTGAGACAGCAGCTCAGGAGGGCAGGCAGCAGAAAGGATGGGACAGATTGACTGCAAATGTTCTCACATATGCGAGAAGGTTCTCTCAATATGGACTAAGCCAACATCAGAAAGCCAACATAAAAACGGAATGGTGTACCAGTAACAACGTACCCTGGTACAAGAAAAACTGCTAACACACATTACCTTGATGCTGTTTTTAAACAGGAATCCTGGCATGGAAAAGCCCTTTTTTTTATCAAGTGGTTCACTGAATATGACGATCTGCTCAAAGAGGAAAACGCGCCTCTCTCTGCAGCGAGGCAAAAGTCCTGCATCTTGGTCTGTGACCAAGAATGTGTCCTGCAATAGCAGTTTACCCTGGGCAACAATTTTACCCTGAAACAAGAAGGAGTAGAGAAGGGGAGAAGAAGACATTGTATTCTCAGTTATTCTACATTCTATTTTCTTTAGCTAGCCTCCCACAGCATAACCTACTTTTCTCTTGTTCATTTATACGGCTTAATTTCTGCCTTTTATTACGATAAATTGTTAGCTCCAGACAGAACAAACATCTAAATAAAAGCCTTGCCAATCTCTGTGTAAGCTCTGGCCTCAGTTAAGATTCTAGCATGAGCATGAGCTCTGAGAGGGGCTTTCCCACTGGCACTGCACCGCCTGGCAGGACGTACTGTCCTCCTGAGCCCTCTAGCAGCTAGCCGCTGTGCTCAGGCCCGAGAGCCAGGTCCTCAGGTCAGTGCTAGTGCTCCAGGAAAACAGCTGTCAGGGACTAAGAACTTCTCCTGTCTGTTTATTGGGGGCAGGGGGAGGAACCAGAAAGGATTCTGGTTCTGCAGTCATTCCTAGGGTTCCACAGCATTTGTTAGACTAATAAGGAACACAGAGTCCCTAAAGTCAACCTTGCATGGAGGACAGAGCCTGGGATTCCCTTGGGCGCCCTGCATCCCTAGCTAGCATGGCTGTAATTGCTGGGAGAGGAACTTGGCTCATAGGATGGTGGAGGGCCCAGGAGACACAGCACAGTCCCGCCTGCTGCTGCTTTAGTGGCTAGGCTCTGAGCAGGGCTCCAAAGCAATGTAGTGCACCAAAAAGATGAAGAACGCATCCTTCAATTAACATACAGTAAGACAATGCAGAAAACTAAGCTGAAAGGGTCAGCTCTCTACACATGCAGACAAACAATCCAGGACCAAAAAAGGGAATGGGAGGCAGAGGAGCCCTTCCAAGCACAGCAGCTGCATTACATCGAATCCTTGCAACCGGCCCACGTTCATCATGTCGTTGCAGCGCTTCGGGACTATGCACATGACCTCCACGGCTTTCTGCAGTGGCGAGAAGGCGGAGTGGACGCTCAAGTTTCCCGTGGTACGATCCGAGCACCCGCACCCACCACGCCTCCACGTTCAGTTCCCCTCCCTGTGGCTCAGTACAGGGCAGCTCCCCTTCCCCACCACGGGTGAGACTGTGCCCTCTGCCTGGACCCCCTCCCAGTCACACCAAGCCTGGGAGACACTCTGGGACTTGGGGGTGACTGTGCCTGTGGGGGACGCAGCAGGATGCTCAGTACCTCTAGCTCTGACGTGTCCAGGCTGGCTTTCTTGGAGTACTTCAGGAAGTCCTGCGAAGAAGCGGAGAACCGTGAGGTGAGCAGCACCTCTGAGACTGGGCCCTGGGCTCAGGGCTGCAGTTCTACTCTCCCATCTCATTGTCTCAGAGGCAAGCAGATGGCACTCTGCTGGCCAAGGCAGACCAAATCTAAGGGCTCCTGCTTCGCTCCAAGACGAGCCCTTGTCCTCTTTACGCCCAGGTCCCGTAGTTTCTGCCTTTGGCTGCAGTGAATAACTTGATTCAGGCCTACTGCTGAGCCAACCGACTCCACTAAGGTGACAGGGCTGAGGAAAAACTGTCAGCAAGGTTCAGGGAAACAAGTTCACTTTCACTGATATTTTGGTTCTGAGTTTGAGGCAACTGAAACCTTGAGACAACAGTGTGAGGTATCTTACAAAATCGATCCCGCCCCCTGGTAATGCTGTCTGCCCCCACGGAGCCTGCCCTTTCACCAGGCACACCCCTGACCCCACTGCCCCGTGCCTCACCTTCAGCAGCAGCTGGTATTTCATAATTCTCTGCACGGGTTTGATCAAAAGATCTGTGAGCTGCAACCTGTGGCCAAGGCGCTGCTTTAAGTCCTGTCATTGGAAAGAGAAAAGAACCATCTCAGGTGTCTGTCACTCTGAGGAGACTGCTGTTAGTTGTTCTGAGGGTCAGGAAGGCTGCCTATAGCACTGCTGATGGAATATCAGAAAAACCCAACTAGAGCTTTGCTGTTATCTTGGGAGTTTGAAGTTTCACACTTAAACCTTTTTGAGCTGTTTCCAAATAAACCTTTCATAGTAGTTTAAATGCCTTACAACTGCAATACAAACACATATTTAAATTTTTAGGCAATTATTTTGAAATCATAAATTAACTTTTAGGAAATTATTTTGAAATTATAATAAGCCTTAAGTTTATACTGGTAAACACTCTTCAATGACAACTCCAGTCTTCTGAATGGGAGAGGGTACAGCCATACACTGAATTCGTACTTGTTCTCTGATTTTTTTTTTTTTTAACTTTTTATCAGTACCAGGGATCGAAGTCATGACCACCTGCTTGCAAGGCAGGTGCTTATGCTGCTGAGCTAAATCCCCAGCCCCTGTTCTCTGATTTCTAAGAAAGAAATATAATGATAATTCTTATCTCCCAAACTGAGTTATTGAGAGTTACTTGGTCTCCTGGGATACCAATGACACTTTAATGTCTAGAAACTGAAATGCAACACAGATTCACAAACACTTTCTGCATCTGTAGAGGGTCTTACCTCAAAGAAGGTGTCAATGTATTCTGAGACGATGTGCTCCGACTTTGGTTTATTTTGACAATACACTATGTACATGTGCAACCTTCTCTCCTAGGAATGAAGAAGGCAAACAGCGGGGTTTAAACAGTAACAGTGGAGTCCACCAGGACAGAAGAGCTCACGCACGTTTCTGAAAACTCATAAAGGACTCGTCCCTCGGAACAAGCTGCAGCTCTGGGGCAGAAGGGCGCCTTCCAGATGCACAACTGACTGAGGCCGGTGATCTTTCAGTTTCCAGTGCTGACGGATACGGTCGGTGGCAAAAGCACACACTTACTACTAAGCAAAGCATCACTCGTGCCCCTCCACAGCCCGCCACATCCCGGCAGGCCTGCTGTGCCTAGAGGTGAGAGAAGGCACTTCAATCTCAAATCTGAGAGGCAGCAGTCCTCGAGTGTGGGGTGCAGATGCGCGGCGCTCTCTGAGAACTGTCAGTGATTCCTGTCAGAAAGCTGTTTTCAGAGCAGCACTGGATCCGCCTCCTCACAGCACTGAGGCCTGCGATGATGAGCAAAGTCCAGGGCGGAGGAAGCCGCTGGCACCGTGGCAAGCATTCCTCACTGCCACGATTTGCAGTTAAAAACCCGGCCTTACTTCAGAGTGTCCTAAATGTCTCTCGCTTTGTTGAAATATGCCGCTGCGGAGCGCACCTCTTTTGAATCACCTCATGACAGGACGGAGTCCGCGCAGCACCTCTGCTGGCGCCATCACCGCCCTGAGGGAAGGCACTGTGCGACAGCGCCTCCAGCTGAACGACTGCTCTCTTTGGTTGCGAACTTTACTTGAAAGAATGACCGATGCAGACAATAATTATTTACACTTGGGTGTCTGGAGACATTTTCTTGAACATGGATGAAACAAGCCTGTCAATTCATGGCCAGCAGCTGGCAGTGCATGTGAATGATGGAAATCCTAGCAGTCAGGCAAAACACTCCAATTTTGGGAAATGTGAGCTTGAGACTGGTCTGAAGCAGTGGGCAGTGATGGTGCAAACTGAACACTTGTATTCTGGATTACAAAATGACCCCACTGCAAGACCTGCTGGGCCAGTGAATCTCTTTCAGCAGCCCTGCAGCCAGGGAAAGCGCCCGAGTGTGGCCAGAGTGCGCCAGAGGGCAGCCCTGAGGAGTCAGTGGGCAGTGGGGGAAGAGGCTCAGATTCCCGCTGCACTGACCTGCGGCGGTTCCTGCTTAAAGCAAGCACTGCAGGGGGATGGACAAGCAGGGGTGTAAGCCCTGGCTCTCTGACACTGTCTGGTCTGACTTGATTCTCAGTCTGTGCACTCTTGGCAACTGCAAGTTATCTCTCCTTTTACCCGTTGACTAAATAAGATGGTACCAGAATGGAACACAGAGAATACTTTTGTACTCACATGTTTAACAAACAGGGAGCCTAGTTTTTCTGGATCTTCAAGGCACTTCTCTAACTCTCCTAAAAAAAAGCTGAGAAGAAAGGAAAATATCAGAATCATTTCCAATTTGGTGTTCTGATTTTAGATTTAGCTTTACATTTTTTAAATAGTCTACTTAGATACAGGCAACTCTGAAGAGTCCAAGGATATACTAACAAGTATAAATCACACAGAAAATGTTTCATCAGGACATAAAGAAAACAAAGACGTAGTTGAGAAAGACAAGGGAAAAACGAGAGCATTCACAGACTGGCAACCCGCCCTTCTGTGGGACAGAACATTCACATTTCTTATCTCCATTATCTCAAGGACAGAAGCACTAGTATCCCTTGTGGATTTCTGAATGAAAAAGCAATGCTCTAAAGGAATGAGCCAGTTTTTATTTCTGAAAATTTGGTCTTCATAGCTACAAATTTCATGGTTATTCTATGATAATTTTTAGAGGCTCAAATGTAGGACAAATGTAAAATACTGAATATGTTATTTACATCAGCTTTATGAAATTTTCTCAAGTATCAGAATCAACTTCCAGGCTGTAATTGTTAGCTCCCACTAGGATTGAAATTAGTTGTAATTAACCACGTAAAGAGTTGTAGGCCTGTGATCTCAGCATTCGGGAGGACAAGGCAAGAAGAATGCCACGAATTTGAAGGCAGCTTGGGCCATACAGTGAGTTCAAGGCCAGCTTGAACAACACAGAGACACCCTGTCTCAAAAAATAAAATAAGATATAATTGCAATGACAAAACAGTTATAGGACAACTGCTCTTCATTTCTTATAGTTCTTTTTTTAACAGTATGTTCACCTTCATTAACATTTATATATGCTTATACTTCTTTTGGCATTTTGTTAACCTATAAACTAGACCACAATTCATGATGTATGGAACTTTGTAGTGCTGTGGCTCCACCATTTCCTAGCCCTACAAACTCTGCAACAGGCACAATCTGCAGATAAAGTTCTGTTTGTCCTCCGAGGGATACCATGTTGCTTACCCTTCCCTGTCACAGCCTTACAAACCAGTCATGTGAGCAGAAGACTAAATAATGGTACAAATATCCTTCTTAAGTTGCTTTCACTGTGTTTCTGGGAGGTACAGCCTACAGAACTATGAGCTGGAGTGTTGTTTTTAAAGCTGACCAATCATTTATGACATTAAGTGAATCTGACATTCCTGGGGCTATCAAAATAAAGACCCCATTCCTGGATGCAGAGGTTTTTGCATTCCATTCAGAGAGATAAGAACAGAAATAACAAAACATTACTTGATCTACACCATGATCCACACCATGCCAATAATTCCTTGTATCCCTAGGACATTCTGCAGCTTAAGGGCACAAACTCCTGTCTGCAGGAGAAGACGACCATCTGATTAGCATGTGGAGGCAAGGCTTTGCAGGTAGTGACAGCATCGTCCAGCAGGGGGAGCAGCCATGTCCATGCGGGCATGCCAGCAGGACGCCGTCCAGGTTATCCTCAGCCTGGGACACCACAGACTGTAGCTGGAACACCCCACTGTCATGCCAGTGCCTGGCATTAAGCAATCACGATTAAGAATTTAAAAAACTACAACCAAAGATGACTCAAAGGGGAAGATGTGTGGCGGCTGGTGTCGAGACCAGCTGCTGTGCGCCAGCCCACATGTGGCTCTCTTCTTGGTTACAATGGTGCAGGATCAATTCTGATTTTCCCACTAAAACTAAACTGGACAAACGAGAGACCTTCTGAGAGTAACTTGTGTTTATTCAAAAGGTGGGTGCAAGTCTAATTAGAAACACCTGAGGTGTGCAGATGTTCTAAGTGCTCTACACTCTTCCTCAGCTACTCTTCATGAAACCTCTGTAAGGTGGCGGAGATGGAAAACAGAGGCACAGAGCGGGGAAGCGGATGACTCGAGGCCAGGAGCAGGCCACGACCCAAGCAGGCCGCCTCCAGCCCTCCCCAGACACACCCTGACCCTGCGTCTAGAGTACAAGTATGAAAAAGACAGGCTGCAGCTTTGCTAAGCTATGAAGTGCCACTACAAAGCTCCTTGTAGGTCAGTGTGTCCTCAGCACCAGCTTCCTCGGGGAGGTCACACAGCCCGGAAAACAGAATCATCCACACGCCCTCCTTCCCACTGCCCGCCTGCCCGCCACGGCTCAGGGAGGATGCTGCGCCTGGCACCACGCGTGACGCAGGTTCCACGTACTCTCTGTGCCAGTCATAAATCTGATGAATGTTGCCAAACACAATCTTGTCTTTTCCCTTCATGTCATCGGGAACACCATCTTCCTTCATAAGCGCCATGTAGCCCTGCATGGGATGTTTAAAAATAATATCCATGGAGTAGAGTTACCAACTAATAATCACAAAGGACAGAATAGTCTAGAAATTGCTTTGCAACCAATGTTTCATTTAAAAACAAAATCTTCTATATAAAAATGTCTTTGTTATTTGAAATCCATGCTTATATTCATTGCTCTAATTCTTTCTCCTTGAACTATTTAGCATTTCTAGGTCAAATGTCATAGCATAAATAAAAGTAATTTGTATCACACAACAAATGTTATTAGTAAATATTAAAATTGGGTATAAATTATTTGTTTTCAGCATTTATCTCATATGGACAGAGGCCTTACCTCCTTTTGGATTACCATATAATCTATGAAATAAATTTAATACTTGGTTTTGCTCTGGCTACACAGAGCTCAGCAGCTCTGGTCAGTGAAAATGTCAGTAAGTTTATCCTTCGCCAAACTGAAGTAAACAACATGGTGTTGCCAGACCAAGCTCGGAATATGCACAGATTCAGGGTGGGGCCGAATCTACAGGGAGTCAATCGACTCTTTCAACCTAAGATGGTACCACTTTTTTTTTAAAATCATTTTTTAAAAAATGGGGTGACGTCCATTCTTGAAAAATGATTAAAAACAAGACTCTTTTATGATAATTAGAAAATTACTGGATATAGCCACTTGAGAACTTAATTATATACCTAAAATGAATCACTCCAAGATATACAGAAAAGGAGTTTTTAAGTTGACTATAGATGGCTAAAGTAACTGGATGAATTCTTTTAGAAACACCTTGTTGGCTGTTCTATGGTTGTCGGCACAAGTGATGTGTTTTAATGTTTTAATGTGAGAAGATTGTCACTATGTACAGCCTTGCTTCTCTGGGGAACTCTTGGGACTGACATAGCTATTACATTTCTGAAAATACACACCTCAACTACACAGCCAAGGTCCCGTACATAGTCACGCTCTGTTTCCACTAATTCTTGCAAAACGTAGCTAGAAAAAAAGAAAAATAGTGTTTATAATCCAAACTCATTTTCTAAATGAATCCTGTTTTGCTTCGTCAGAATAGACTCTTTGGGCCACAGAGAAAGACATCACAATTACACAACTGGGCCTTATGTTTTAGGTGTGCCAGTCACTTACAGGTTCAAGCGAGTGACCCACAAGACACTCTTGGGGACACATGTACTTTGGCATAACTGGGATAACTCACCAGTATGGTGACTGCACACATGGATAACTAAAAGAAGCGTGGACCTAATTCTTTTAAAATGGCATGAGCTGGGGAAGCAGCTATTTTTTAAAAATGATTAGGCTATTTCAAAGTTTAATGGAGACACAGGTAAAAATTTTGATTTATTAAGTCTTGGATCACTTATCCATCACTCAAAACTGTACAGAAATTAACTTTATGAGGATTTATGATAACAAATGAATCACATGAATACATTATGCACTACAAACATGAAAGTGTGTTTGTAAGGTTCAGTACTAAGATGACAGAGGACAATCATTTGACCAGGATAGTAAACTATTTCAATTGCCCTGAGAAGTTCCATTCATGGGTTCATGTGTCCGTTCATTAATTCCTTCCTTAACTCAACCATAATCAATGTGGTACCTTCTCTGCTGAATGTCAGTCAAGGCACTGTGTGTGACAAATGATTGAATAAAACCAAGTCTTGTCCTCATGCAGTTCAGTTTCTTTTCTCCATAGGTGTTTGAAACCTTCGTAATTTACCAGTAGCTGCTGTACTGGAGATCAGGAACACTACTGTTAAGTTATACTTCAAAATTGTTGACGTTCTTGAGTCTGGTTCAGATTTTATGCTGCCTTTTTTTCCTTTGTGACTACAAGTACACAACAGAAGATACGCCAGTTTCTCACTTCAAGGGATAGAGATACTCTCTTCTGGCATCATTTTATTTTAAAATTGTAACAGACAAACAGAACAGAAATTGTACCCTTACAAGGTTCTGAGGGCTTTACACAGGTACATATGATTATTCATCATGAGACCCTAGACCTGCTTTTTTCTAATTCAGAGATAAATCCCTGTCTTATTTTTGATAGTGATAAAAGAGGAAACCTGGAAAATAAGGAGAATGAAAACATTTCTGCCTTACTGCCGTCTCTTTAAGGAGCTGGATTTCCTTTCTTCCATCTCATCAATGGGCGAGGAGGAAGAGAGAAGGGAATTGTCTGACGGGTTGAAGGATGGGCTGCTACTGTCTCCCTGGTCGACAAGGAGAGAGCTGGGACGATCCTCTAGAGCCTGGAAGACATTTAAAATAATCAGTGTTCACAACCTACTGTCCACGACAGGCTGGAATTAGGGTATCGAAACCTGAGATGGAAGATACAGATGTGCATGTAAAATTGGAATACTCTCTCAACCTTCACTTGGTATTATTAAAATCACTGACACTCAGATCCTATTTTCTTCCCTTCATAGTAGCAAAGGGAATCTGACTTCATCCTAAGCAGAGCTTAGAGCACGTAAAGTCTGTACATGCAATCTTGTTAAAAGTCACAAGCTGTAAAAAACGTAGCAACTGCTGCTTTTATTTATGAAAACCTGGCTCTAAAGCAGTTAACATAGGAATTTAGTCAAAAAGCTGTGTTCCTGGAAATAAACAGCTTCTGTGGAGGCAGGCGATGGGCTGTACTCGTCCGTTCAGGTGCTTCTTGGCAGACAGGAGCCCGGGCAGGGAGGGAGGAGGACCCAGTGTCCTGTGTTCCTTATGGACAGCTGAGGTGTCCTTCGCTGAGTTCCGTTCTCTCCAATAGTGAGAAAAGAAAAGACGATTGGGCCACATTTCCCCTGTGCAGGTCAGCGTGTAGAGGCCGTCCTGGGCTCTGCCAGTGTCCATGAGGTCTTCCCAGCACACCTTGAGCAGCTGCCAGGCCGGGAAACCACAGGGCCCAGCCCCTTCCAGCTGCCTGCCCCAAGCTGTACCCTCACGGAGCTGGAAGGGTGCAGGTGTCCCAGTGAGGACACAGGTGTGGAAACTTTCTGTCCTGCTTAGGACACACTGCCTTTGCTTGAATGGTGATGAACCCACTGTGTGTGCACTGCAGAGGGCAGCTCATTACGGGGAAACCTGAAAAGGTTCGCAGTCACTGCTCTGTGTGGTCTGTTTGCCTGAGCACAGCATATGCGGGCAACAAGGCTGTGCCCGGCACGGAGCTGCCGGAGAAGTATAATCCTGGGGTGAACTACCTGGGAAGCACTCTGGGTTGGGCTAGGTTTGGTAGGTGGGTCCTTGTCACCTTTCTCTGTTTCTCATATGCAGATGGATCTCTTCCAAGGTTAGCTTTGGAAAAGGTTTCCTTAGAACTCCCCATTCCATCCAGGTTTTATTTCTATCCAGGAATAAAGTAACATCTTAGAAATACTTCCATTCTGTCAGTTTGTTTCTCTTTTACATTTCCATAATCTTGTGAATTTGTACTTATTTTCTCTCTTCTGAGCTAAGATATATTTTGGTTTCTTTATACTTGTTTTCCAGCTCATTAATTTTTGCATTAATCTCTACAAATTCCTCCCATTTCCTTTTGTTTTGCTGTTGTTCCAACATTTTGGGTTTTAGGTGTTATTTCACTTATTTTCATTCTAGTTTCCTCATATGTTGATCAGGGAAGAAAAGCCCAAAGTTAAGTCCAAGTAGCCACTCTGACAACAGGCCACCATTATTATTTTGCCAATTCTTGGGGAAAACAGAGCCTTTAAAATACCTGACACGGTCTTCCTGGGAATGTTATATCAAGCAATATTTGACATCATTCACACTGTACATGCATATGTATTTTTTGAGACCGGATCTTGCTATGTAGTTTAGGCTGGCCTTGAACTCATGTTGATCCTCCTGCCTCAGCCTTCTGCTGCCCAGGTGTGCCACCACACCTGGCTCTCTGCAAGTATCTTAACTGCCTTCCATTTTAATTGTCTATGACTCAGGGAACACTGGTTGGGGTAGCATTTTTTACTTTTCATATTAAACTTCACATTTTAGGTTTATACTATGGAACAAATGAGTAGCTTCTCTCTTCTCCTCAGCCCAGTAAATTAATACATAACTTTTAACAGACAGTTAATTTGGGTTTTCGAATCCACTCATGAAATCCAACTCTAACTAAGCAGGAGACTTTGGACCCAAGTCTATCAACCTCCAAAACATTACATCATCAGCTTTATATCTGGAGACTTAAAAACAGGCCTAAGTGAGAATAATTTAGTGTCAACTGAGTAAACAGGTAACGTGTAACTCCTTGAGATTGAAAAAGGAGGATAAACCTGAATGAGCCCAGGCCAGAGACCCTGCTTCCACCTTGAAGTCCACCCAAATTAACAAATGAGAGACACAGACACCGTAAGTGGAGGGACTGGTGCAGAATAACAGCTGAACATGTTGCTTGCCTGCCAGAGAGCCTGGGAAAAGCACTTTGGTGATCAGATAATATGAGTGATTTAAATGATCATGTAATTGATGGGTGTGAAAGGCTTTTTAAATGTTTACAGATGTTTAAACACTGTAGATACAATTTAAACACCTTTCATTTCCATTAATCAACTTATCTTGTAAACAGGCAGCGAGGATATGGTTGTAACTTAATTCATATTTACATGACTTCAAATTCTTGTGGAGTTCAAGTTCTTGAGTTACCTTCTAAATCCTAGCAACCTTCCTATGAAACTTGAATGTTCACTGTGTCTTATCCAGAATACTGCAATTGCTCAGGAAGAAATTTCTAGCCATGGCAGGGCAACAACACCTGTCAGTTTGAATTTTTCTATACATAAATCCTATCTGACCCAGCCAGCCAGTTCATTCGACAGTGTGATGTGTGTGTGTGGAATTCAATGATATATGTGACTCCTAGCTAACACAAAAATATAGAAAGATAAAATCCTAACTTTATATTCTTTGAGCTAACAATTCTTTTTCTTTTGGTACCGGAAATCGAATTCAGGGCCTTGCACTTGCCAGGCAGGCATTGCATCACTGAGCTATATTCCTGGCCCTGACGTAACAATTTTGATGGAAACTGATCCTGCAGATATAGTCATACTCGTAATAAACATGAATTGTTTTATACTGAAAACAAACATATACTAGGCATTTGTTTAAATAAATGATAATACAATTACATCAATGATCCTTATTAGTTGGTGAAAGTTTTAAATGGTCTGCGTATCTCAGTTGCCTCATCTGTAAAATGGAATAATAATGCATGCCTACTATTTGGGGTGTTGTGAGGACTATATAAATTAATGTGTGCACGTAGGACAGTGCCTGCTTTGAGCAGGTCTTTAGTGGTATAACCATATTAGCCATTATAGTCACTGAGAAGAAAGAGCATTTATATGCACTGCTGTGCATACTAAGTCTCTGAATCTTAAAAGTGGGATGATAAGGGCCAGGGATTTAGCTCAGTGGCATAAGTGCCTACCTGGCAAGTGCGCAAGGGTGAGGTTGTGAGTTTGATCCTTGGTACTGGGGGTAGGGGGGAGTGGGATGGTAGCATTTCTAAAGGCAAGGCATGACAGGTGCCAATGCTGAGGCCTGGGTGGGTGGCCATGCTGGCAGCATTCTCCCTGCACTTCGGATAGGGTTGCTGAAAGTATGTGCTACTGGGTGATGACCTGGGGGAGAGGACCTGGACCCAGCAGCTCCTAACGCTCTGTGCATCTGTCCGCTAGGTTGATTTACCCGATGTCTTCTCACATAATAACTAAAACTGTGGGAATAACAGGTGTCCAGAGTTCTGTGCATCCTTCTGACACACTGGTGAGCCAGAAGGTGATTGTGGGGACCCTGAAACTCATTGAGGGTGGCTTGATGGCCACAGGGAAATTCTGTAGACCACAGCAATACCTGGGCAAAGGTCAGCCCATCGGTACGGACCCAGCACAAGAGTGTGGCGCCCAGGCCTTGAACAGCCCTGGCGGGCTTACCATCTTGCTTTTCACGAGCTCCTCGATGGCACTCACAAGTTCAGCAGCACTTGGTGTTTCGGAGCTGGTGGGGCGGACAAGTAACCGAGAGGAGGCCTAGGGAAAAGGTTCAGAAAAAGACGGGAGGGAGAGGCCTCATGTTAGCAACTGGACAGTGAATTCCCCTGCAAGCTCCAGTTCTTTTTAATAAGTAATTTCAGACAAAAAGACCACAAGTTTGTCTTTGTTTTCATTTATTTAGAGTCATCCTTTTGAATTTACAATATTCTGACATGAAACATTAAAGCCTGTCTGGGATGCATGTGGGAAGTGGACAATGTCCATTTTCACTCCTCGGTCCTGAAACATCGTAATGTTTTCAGAGAGGTGATTGGAAAGGGAAAATCCTAACTGCAACCTTTGTGACTGTGGGCTAGGCTCTAGGCTACGGAGAGAGAAACAGAGTGGTCAGCAAAAGCATGAGAAACTTAAGCTCTAGGGGTGAATCCTTAAATAATCAGGAAACAAAACAGGGCACTAACAATGGCTTTGCTGTGTTTATGGGATTAAGAGAAGGAAGAATGCGAGAGAAAGGGAAGGAGCCAGGGTACGGTGACCAGACAGGGAAGAGGGGGACAAGCTCACCATTTTCTGTGCCATCCATTTCCCCAATGCTTAGTGCAGAGTACAGAAGAGCTGAGGCCTCACAAGCCATCAGATGCCACTTAGGCTAGAATCCAGGTGTAACGGGGTCGACAGTAAGGGGATCTGGGGGGGGGGCTACTAAATTTGAATTTCAGTAATTAGCAAACATGGTATGTTTGCAGATTACTTGCACTGCTGGTTAACCAGGAACTAGAAAGGGGGGGGGGCATAAATAATATGAACCTTGCTTCATATTAAGGACAGCAGAGATGCATGCGACACACAGCTAGCTGTCCTAGCAATGCATTGCTCACAGCAGACAGGTACAGATTTTTATGCTTACAACAAAGCTTTTACATATGTGGATTGGAATATGCATTTACAAAACAAATGTCAGTTTGGTCTAATGGCATTTGGAATATGGGGTAAAAAAAAAAAAAAAAAAAAAAAAAGAAAAGAAAAAAGAAAAAATTCAAATGGAAAGGTAAGGAAATTGAGCCAAAACAGACACAGAACACAAATAATGCTGCAGTGAAAGTTTACAAAAAGAGAAAACAAAACAAAACAAAATATTAGTCACAATATAGTATACTCTTTAGGAATAGCACTACAGATTTTTGTAAATGAAGAACTGCTATTGATAATACCCAAATGAGGTAACAAAGTAATAAATGATTCCAGTAAACACAAGAATATAATGCAATTAACTCCTTAAATGGCAGAGGAAAAACCCCTTATTCGGTGAATAAGTAAACAAAGCCTCACTGTTTGGACAAGCACACAAATTTTAAGAAATTCGGCTTTCTGCTTTTAAAAAATGTACAGTGCAGGGTGTTACAAAACAGGAACTGTCAGATAAACCACACAGTCCCACTTCCTGCTGGTCACTGCGAGGCCAGGCGCCGAGGGTCTGACTTGCCCTGCACCCCCTTTGCTCTCCCTGCCACACAGCCCAGGATCTGTGGCTCAGCTGCACACAAACTCTAAGGTCTTAAACCGACGCCGAGAGCCCCTGTGCCAGAGCCGTAGCTCGCTGAAGGAGGAGGGGGTGGGATTCGAGGGCTTTGGCTTTGGACTACACGGGGAGGGGGTGCGACCTTGTGGCCATCAGTCCCTGTGCCATATCCTGAGTTGTCAACTACAGGGCAATGAATCCAGCAAGTGACTGTGCCAGTCCTGACCAACAAAGGAGCCAGGGAAGAAGGGAAAGAATGGAGAAAAAATATGTTGAAAACACAACTGTTTTAGTTAGAAACCTTGGTTACTGCCAAAATCAAAACCTAGCAATGACTTCAGAGCATGATTTTTAACACCTGACAAATGTGAAGGGCACTGTGGAGCTAGAAGCTAGACAGGATGAGCAAGCTACAATTAGCAGGTTCCTTTTTGATATTCATTTTCAGGGTTTAGATGAAAAAATAAGATTATTTAAGAATTCATTAAAAAATATTTACATGGCTTGAAGCCTCTTGTTTATGCACTGAAGAGGAAATTCATGGCTCTCAGCTGAACCCTAAATGTTAGTAACTGCGGACTGCCATACCCTGAAGCTGGTACTGGTCCTACGAACATGCCTGGCATGCTGCAAAATATAGCTGGACAGAGACCTAATCCTATTTTATAGTGGAGCTCGTGTGCAAAAGACTTCAGAGACAGAACACGAGGGCCTATTATTCATTTAGTGCTATATTCAGGAAAGTGGCATAGGGTTTCTCTTTTCTCTCAGGGGCTCTAATAAGTATGCTTAGAAACCTAAAAATTACTTTAAAAGCAGCAATTACTGAAGCACCATTAAAATGTACTGAACACAGCCACCACCACCCCACACACCCCTGGGAGTGTGAGAAACTGCGTATATTAGCTAGTGATCCTAAAGGGGTGTGCTGCTCAGGCTCCTGGGGCTGCAAAGGACCTGGCTGCCAGGGCTCTGTCCACACCTCTGGGGTCTCCCAGCTCATGTGATGAGGCTGGGGAGCTGCCCTGGAAGGGCCCTGCCCCTGGCACAGATGGCATGGCTCCTGGTACCTTGTCATCCTGTGAATCCGGCTGAAGGAGGCTGTGTTGCTGGATGGCCATGGGTGGGGGCAGCGGCACGGCATCGGCGCCCTCCTCCCCTTCCTCTTCTCCACAGCTCTGCATCCCCGAGGAAGAGGATTTAGACAGTGTGCCACTGCTCAAGCCCTCATTCCGGCCTCTCTGAAATCAAACCCACATTTGCTCATTACATGCTAGCATCAGTCCAGATACCGGGCCCCAAAGGGGTTAAGTGGAAGGCAGGGTAAGGGCAGAAACCAGGAACAGGCTCTTCTGGACTCTGTGGGCCACTTTCCACTCCTGAACTACAATCCAACCATTTGCTTTCCAGCTGAGATAAGTACTTGTCACATAAAAGGACTGCTAACATCGCCCATCTCCAAGAAGCTACCCCCCAAAAGTTCAGAAATCTGAATCATGGTCCTCATGTTCACTGAGTTCCTTGGTCCAGCTCATTTCATTAGATTATCTCTTGACAATAAAATTCATTGAAATAGTAAGGACATAAAGGCACACACAATCCAAGACGTGAAAGTGCATTAAGCATTACATCCACTTTACTTTTCCTTATGAAAAAACTTGTTTTAGTTCTACTAGGAGGATGTGATTTATAAAACATAGTTAAGTCCATAATGACCCACCTATTCCAGTAAAAGCCCATAGCAAAAATATCCTCAGGAAAAAACTAGCAGAAACTGCATGTCTGCCAAAGCAGTGAAATGAGATTACTCCAATCCTGTTTATCTCTGCCTTGTCTTTTTCAAGCCTGCATGGAATTTGGGGGAGTCCACGTTTAAAACTGGGCGCCTCACAAACACCTTCAGTGCTGTCTCCATGATCATGAAGCAATACTACTTCTTGTAGTGTGATTTAAAGCCCTCAGGACAAAAGGAAACAGAAAAATTCCTGAATGACTTGATCACTCATCTTTGGTGAATGGGAATAGCTCAGTGTTTACTTTTCAGGCAGCAAAGAAATGAATTGAGTGTTTTCAATTCAAGTCAAGATTGAAGTATAAATTTTGGTAAAAATGAATTGGACACAATACTCCACAGGTCCTTCCAAGTTTCGAATGGGAGCTGAAGGCTGCCATGGAGTCAGTGCTGATCCTGGGACCCTGCAGACACTTTATGGCACCTGCAGGTGCCGCCTCGAGGTGGCGTGAGGAGGAGGGGCTGCTGCACTGGCTCGGATGGGAGCTGAGAGGACTCCAGGGAGCACACAGTGGGCTGCTTTCCTTCTGACTGTGCGACCAGGGAGCAGCTGTCCCCCTCACCACCACTAAGTAGAGACACTAACGGAGAATGTGTTGCCGGTGACTTCTGGACAAACCACAGAGTTTCATAAGACAAGCAACCACTCAGACAATTTGAGAGCAAGACTTATGTCCAGGTCCCAGCATGTGGCCTCCCAAGATTTCCATGGGGCTGGCCACACAGACCCACCTCCTCGACGGTCTCGTCCTGCGGGGTGGCAGCGCTGTCGTCCGAGTCCTTCTGGGAGCCTGCGTCGGTGCTCTTGCGCACCTCCCTGCTCTTCTTGTGCTTGTGGGCCAGCTTCTTCACGTGCCCGTCGGCCTTGCCGCTGCTGAGCCGCCGCACAGGGCTGGTGAGCCACTTGCGCAGGGTGTTGCCTGGCCGCTTGGGGCCAGGGGAGCTCTGGGCCCCGATCATGTGGGGCTGCAGGGAGGCGACGGAGGCAGGGGGACTGGCATCATTACTGGAAACAGACAGCGAGTCTGACGGGACAAGAGAGGAAGGGAGTTTTACCGAACATAGCACAAATCTCTGGCTGAAGCATGTGCTGACATGCTTCAGTCCCCAGCTCTACAGAGGCTCAGGGACTCTGTGAGCTCAGCTTGCTGGACAAAAACAGAGACAGGGAGAGAGGCAGAGACAGAGAGAGCGTGAGCGTGAGAGATGCAGACAGACAGAGCCTTTGTGCACGTGTGCAGACACACGCATGCTGCAAATATTTATCAAGCGTAGGATGATCTTTCTGTAGATCACTGTCCCTCCAAAAATAACTCATCATCAACATCATTAGAGCACAGATCATTATTTGTTTAAAATATTGTAACAGTAGAGATTATTTAAAATTACTTTTTACCTATATTCTTGATTAAGACAACACTAAGAAGATTTTAAAGTATAGGTAGGAAACATTTTGGCTACATAATGCATTTACTTAGTGTAAATTGATCCTGCCAAACGATGTATTGGTTTGGCTCACGACCAGTGAGTTAAAGTACACCCCCCACACACGGAAGTGACAGGGTGGCCCCTGTGACAGACCACCCATCTAGAAAGCTGGTGACTTCCTGAAGAGTCTGCCATGGCCCTGCCTACCACCAGACCACATGAGCACATGGTGTCCTTAATGGCAGCTTCTACACTGTCGCCTTGCGTGTCTGGGTGAACATCATCGAGAAGTAACAGAAACAACACATGTGCCAGGATTAGTCTCCTCAGTAACCAAAACCACCTTTCAGGTGATACATCCAAGAAGGGCTTCTCATCGACCTCAAATTAAACACACTATACCTTGGGTTGAAGATTGTACAAGGTCAAACATAATTAAATCTAGGTAACAGTGCACACTCGACCAATCTGGGGCGTTAGGTGTTTTGGAGCTGGAAAATCAGTGAGCATGAACACTGGCTGGCCCCTTCCTGGACGCCTAATTGAGGGTCCCACCACAGTGACCAGCAGTAGGATGCCTGACTTCAGGGAGCGGGGTGCTTAGGATGACTGTCACAGGCTGTGTGCATTGTCTGTGTTAATCTTTTGAAGTCTTGAGACGGTACTAGAGTTACTCTTTGCAAATCCTTTCACAGGCACGGCTGTAGAGCCATGTTTACCGCTGTGGCAGGGAGACCCTGCCTGTGCAGCAGGCAGAAAGCTAATCCTGCTCTGCCTGTGACTCCAGCTCTCCCTGAGGCTCCCACACTGGCCTTGAGGGCCGACACTCACCCTGTTGCTGGCCTGCTCATTGCTGGCCCAAGACTCAGCTAGGAAAGGGGAGAGGCAGGTCTCCCACGAAGGCTTCCCCTTAATCAGCAGCAGCACCCATGCGCAAAAATCTGTATTCTTCATGAGGTGGACTTTGGTTCAAAAGTGGCCACTATCTGTTAAGCAGCAGCGACCTTTTCACCTGGGTATGTAGGTATGCATGCTGTGTATACTGTATCTGTGTTACTTTTACACACTTTAAATTCTATTTATTCATAATGACATTTATTAAAACATCTCCACACCAGTGCCCTTTCCTCAGATATGGCTGGGAAGGGGCAGCAGACAGTGAGATCTAGAGCCCACTCCCTGCCATAGCACTTCCCCAGGTATTCACTTAGGAGAACACGGGACTGTGTACAGTGACCACAGGGAGGATGGAGAAGCCTGGGAACAAGCCACATGCCGGGTGAGATCCTACACTTCTTGGGGGCAGTGCTGCTGCACATGTGAGGCAGGTGCTCTGTCATGGAGTTGCAGCCTCAGCCAGATGCCCATGTTAACTGTGATAGACTTTGGAACTGTTCACAGCACGGTGACTCCGAGTCCAACCCCACTCTGCACTGGGGGAGACGAGGAACACCTGGTTCTCCACCTACCGGAACCACCACCAGGTGTTTTCTGGGTTGCATAATCAAATGTGCTCTAGGGAGGTCTGAGGCCCAGCAGAGGGTGGGAGCAGAACTAGCGTCAGGAGGAGGAGATCTGAAGATGGCCATGGAGACAGCTGAGCTACAGGATCCTGTGTGTGGGTCTGGAGGCGGCGTTCTGTGAGAGCAGTGGCCTCACTGTCCTACTGCCTGGCACATCCAGTGCCTCACATGGGCACACATTAAGTATTGGACGGAGGCACTGGAAATGACTGTCTACAGGAACACAGCAAGCAGATTCACAGCTCCTTGTGTAAGGAAAATCCTTTCTTTGGCATGCACACCAGAGCTGTACAGGCGGAACCCAGTAGAGGCTGGGAGACAGCCTGGACGGCTTCAGATGGTACCTGCTGTGCCTGAGAGGAATGTGGGGAGGAGAAGGTGAAAGACAAAGATCCTTTTTTTTTAAATAAAACAAATGCAGGCTGAGCAGCCACAAGCAAACTATTCACACAGCAGAAGTAACAGGGGACCCAATTAGAACAGTAAACCAATCTCAGAATTTTTCTGAGCCTATAGTGAAAAGTAGGGTGCAACTAGCCTGGGAGCAGTGCAGCACATAACACAAACTCTGAACAAAAAGATGAGGCCTTCTGCCCTGGCTCTTGGCCCAGCCAGCCCTCACAGCGGGAGAAGCGATGGGGCCTCAGGAGGAGAGTGTGGGTGCGGGTAGGACACAGGGCAGCCTGAGGGTGGTGCATGGGTCAGAAGAATCACAGTGGGCTCACAATATGGGGCACCCAGCTGGTTTGACAGCCTTGCCTAGGAAAGAGCTAGCTGCTGTTGTAAAAGGGGTTCAAAAACAAAAAGAAACTCAGTATTTTTCCCTGGTGTCTCTGGGTCCAGGTCAGCAGGATTTGGTTCTTTGGCCTTTGGGTAGCAGGTTCCAGTCAGCTCTCCCACCAGGCCAAGCACTAGGGAGGTGGCCGTGGAACTAGGAAGGATCAGTACTGCCCATGGTGGGAACTCATGGGCGCCACCCAGAGCTGTGGCTCTGAGGGCACCGGCAGCCCTCACTAGGTACGCTGACTTACTCGGTCACTGCAGGGACATCATCTCACTTCCCTGCAATATTCACAGTTCACAAAAATGCTAGTTATGCTGGCAGCAATTACATACTAAGGAAATCTTGTTGGATTTTAAATTTTGCTTTAAAAAGCATTTGAGAAGTCTGAAAGATGAAAAGGAAAAAGTTCCTCTCCTGTCTCTAAGATCAAGCAGATACTCTATTTAGTACAAACCTGAAACAGTTGTAATTTTGAGATTAGTAATGAAAAAATAGAAGATAAATGATTCTTCTACTTTGTAACAGTAATGTTCAATTCTTTATGCTTTTTTGATTCTGAAAAATAATAAATTATGTTTTTCTTTTCATTAAAGAAATTCTTTTTGCCTAAATCTGTGGGTTATATAACAGCCCAAGTATCTGTCCTTTGCTGGTCTACTGTATAAATCAGAAGTTTAAAAAGCTTTAAAATTATTTAAACTTAATACAACTATTAATAGAATGAAACAAAGTATGTGCTACTATTTTTGGTTACTAAATTACAGACTCTGCCCACTACACTAACTGCTGTGTTGCAGATTGGGAACTGAATCCCATGCTCCAATGTTATCTCTGATGGACTCAAGGGCACTAATGTTACTGGGCACCAGAAAGCATAAACTCACAATAAACAAGGAGTGTGGGACTTCAGTGTCCCTGGGGGATCTGAAATTACTGGTCTGCATAGGGCGTCCTTCCAGAAGTCCCACGGGCTGTCACGGGAAGTGGGCTGCAACTCAAGAATCTGCGTGCCCACTGCCCAGCACCAGGGTAGAGCAGCACACGTGTGCTTCCTGCCTCCCATGTGCTCAGCATCTGACTGAGGATGCTTAGCTCCACAAGGCACACCTCAGGAGGCGGCCCCACGTCCACTCTGTGTGACTGGCTCTCGCCAGCTCTCGCCAGCTGGGTACCCGACCATGCCCACATACTCTGAGAGGGTGGGTACCAAGACCGATTTGCTTACAACTACTTCTCTGCTGCTAGCAGTCTGCCTGGTAGAGCTTTGGAGTTTAGTAAGTCCGTGTTGAGTAAGTGACAAACAGCCTATTTCTGTCTTCTGCATACTGACACTGAGTGGTGATGTCCTCAGTTAACATTTAATTTCAGTCAAGTTCTTCAGTCTGCAAATTATTTACTTCTCAGATGATACTTCAGAGGCGATCGGTGCTACCCTCTTTTGGCCTGTCATTGTCTCTTCACTGGCTAAAGCCTGGGCTAGGGACAAGGTGGGCAGAAAGGGACATTGGGCTGAGCTGGCCTGAGAAGTACCCTGCCACACTGCCTCGTTCCTCAGACTCTCACATTATTAGTTGCCGGCTTTGGCTTTCCTTTCCATACCGACCTCCTAGGAAGAAAAGAGTCAACAGTGCTGCTTTCTACTCCAGCACTAACTTGTCATCTGCAAAGATGCCTTCAGCTCACGCCGTGTGTGGCTTGGCAGCGTGCTTTCCTCTGTCAGCCCAGGAGACCACTGGCTCGAGGTCCAGAAGGAGGGCGGCTGAGGGAAGTCACAATGCACCCTGGACTCACCAGGGTGCCTGTGTCCAAGCCAGGCCCTCCCACTCCACAGCTGTGATGGTGGGCAAACGCTGACACTGCTGATGGGCTTTCCTGTCCCACAGAGCTCTACTGGTCCCACCGGAAAGATGGTGATACACCAGCTCTATATACTAACATTCTGGTCATGGTGGGCGCATCCTCACTCTGTGGTGACAGAGAACTTAGCATACTGCATTTACGTAAACTGAGTGCCCAGGCATGAATTAGGTTCAGTGTGGTATCCAGGAAACACTATAAATGGATAAATGATATGCCGTACATGAATTACTTCATTTTATTTCTATTTTGAAAACTTGCCCCTTATTAAAAGGGTCAAAGAAAATTTAGCGTAAAAACTTATTATCAGCCATCAGTCAATGAGAAAATAAATGCTTGATTACATACAAGGAAGCCTGTGTGATCTGTCTGAAGACCAGGAGAGCAAAGCAATAAAAGTTTATCTCTTTGTATTTTGAGGAGACAAAATTCT